TTTCACTTGCACTCTTTGAATATTAATACATAGGATTTTTATAAAGCAATCATAGATCCGAACGTAGTGCATAAAATTCAATAAGTTAATTGCATTAAACTGAAACAAAAAAGTGAATCCAGAGGTCAACAGTCCAAATTCGTAGTTCTGATTGTTACAAAAATTTCTATTATCCTTATCACCATCAAGCAAAATTAAATCAGCAACCCCAAAAATAGGACCACAATCTGCATCGCACCTCACACTTCGTCCTCCTCGTACATATTTGCTTAGAAGTCCATTGACAATATTATCAGAATAAACTAAAAGTCACTTAAGGATGAGTAGTCTTTGTTAAGTGAATTCCATTCAAACAAATTATAAACAACAAGATCCATTTTTTTATTTAATACGCGAATGACAACTACTGTTGGATCTTTATTATCACACAAACGATGAAAAAAAATCGGTATTCTTAAATCACCACGTAATAGCAACTTCAATTCGATTAATTTGTTTTTCTGAGTGCCATCTATTTTTTTTAATCCAATCAATTATTTTATGGGACCGATCCGGCGAAATGGAAGTGTCAGATCAATTTCATCTGTATCTTTAACTTGAGCGATCCTCCATTCAGGCACCTTTTCATATTAAGGTTATCACGCTTGAGTAAATTAACTAGAGCCGATCCGGGTAGATTGATAAATCATTTGACTGAAAAATAATAGCTGGATTCTGACGTGCGGTGTCCGTACAAAATTCATGAAGCTAAAAAAAAGGGTTATGCTCGAATGCGATTTGATTATTAAGACGAAACTTTTTTTCAAAGATTAGTACGGTGTTTAAGAAAATAAATCTGAATATATTCAATTAGATCCTCAAGAATTAACTCATAAACTGCGACTAATAAACCCTAAAGTGTCGAAACACCATGATCTTTTAAATCGATTTTTCCGCTGTACAAATATCTATTTAAATTTTTAAACCTCGTAAATTTATTATTGCCGGTATCGCTTCATTTATGACACGAAATTACCTTAGCAATATTTCGAAAACTTGAGGTTCGATATTCGGTTTCTTAAATAAAAATCATCTTATTCGGATCTCGTTTCACCCAAGCATCAGAGAGCGCTATCGCAAAATATTGCGACTGTGCCACCAAGAATGCTGGGTGGTCTGAAAAAACGTCGTGTATTCTGGTTTTCACCAACAGTAATCGAGATATCATAATAGTTGAAATTTTCATAAAACTTCTCGAGCCTGTTTAAGTGTGAAGTCAATAACAAGTTGGATTTCATTTTTTAATTAGTTAAATTTTTAATTAATAATACGATACGTGTTGTTACCATTATTCCATAAAAATCCGTAATTCCAGAAATCATGAAGGGAATCGTCCGACCGTAAAATATTCCACAACACTATAATTTCCGACTCCTATTTTAAGCATCACGTTCGTAACCGCGTCCGTGTCCTTATTTTTAGCATTTTTCAGCACACGAGATCGCGTCGCGCTCCTATTTTCCAGCACACGTTGTCGATAATATAGATCGTGATGGCTTTCCCCGCATTTTCCAGCATTTTTCAGCACAATCGTTCACGTTCTTCAGTATGATGTACAACGCCACTTTTTCTTTAGTTATACTCTACTGCTGTTCGATCTATCAATGTAAATAGAAAATTATAGAATCAGAGTAGTATCTCTTTCAAGGTAGAAAAAGCTCACAAAAATGTATAAAACGAATGGCTCTCGGGCTTTTGAATAAATAAAATTGCGTACAGCACCTTTTCTCTAAGTGAAATACTTGTAAAAATCTTGCAAAGAATCGTAATCCTAAACGTGTTGGTTAGGTTCTTTCTGCCAGAAAAGACGACGATTTGGTTAGGTCCTTTAGTCCAGAAAAGGCGAAACGCATTATTGATCGACTGATTTGATTGATCCGAGGTTAAGGCTTTTAGCTAGAAAAAGCATAGGAATAAAAAGAATAGATTAGTTAATAATTAATAAACGAAATCCCTTCTGCCCTTCCTCTTAATTACTTACCGACTCTCCCCTGGGACGCCCAAATTGAACGATATCGGCACAGGATCTAGACCAACAGGTAAAATTAGTCTAATCGTCCTCTCTCACCCATCGTCACAGTTCCCAAAATACCGTAAATCCACATAATTCAAACCCACCTGTGACAGTGCTGCTAATTAATCTGATCAACGACAGAACTTGCTTTGGTCGATCCTGGAAAATTCTACTGTAATCGATTTTAAAGGAAGATTAACTTTTAAAAATTATGCATTCTTATTGGTGCTAGGAAAAATCCGCGTATTCTTATTGGCTACTAAATGATAACCAATAGGAAACGCAGGTGAATCAAAGAAGGGGAAATTTTAACGTTAAAATTATTGTCACGGATGAATGAATTTTGCAACTACATGTATTTTAATTATAATTATATCACATGAATTTCAGCTTCAGCCATTTTTGTATATCGATAACAATATTGTAGATCAGATGAACAATAAAACAGCAATGTATTGTAGTAATTTGAAAAATTGACTTCCGATTGTCATCAAAAAATTTATTATATATCGAGCGTTCTTGAATCGGTCCAAGCAAATTTCTTGGAAAGTTATCCAGATATCCGTCCAAATGCCTGATAACGAGCAAATAATGGGAATATTGTTCCAAGATGAATAGTTCTGGATCTTTGGATTTGGACTTGAATCCATGCACCGTTTGGATCACTTTATCAAATTATTCTATTTTCATCTATTGCGCAATTATACTATGGCATTTACAATTTTTCATTTATGTACACATCAGTCATAAGACAAGTCATCCCTAGAAATTGAATTGATATGCAGATAGGATAAGATAAAAACGAATTGCATTTCACCTTTAATTCATGAGCCATCGTGAGCATATGAAATTCCACCACCATAGATCTCGTGATTTAACCAAGAAATGAAAAACTGACGTCCCCACATGTCAAATACATTGTTCTATGAATTGTTTGCATACATACACAAAAATTATCATTATTATTATTATGGGACTAGAAAATTAAGTTCGTTCCAACGCTAACGCCTAATGGTTAATTTTATCACGTTTTTGTCATGACGTTAGTTAATCGGTTCTCTTTAATCAAACAAAGCATCATCATCTTTAATTTTTGGACGACGCTTGAAAATCCCTCACACACACACATCAACAAGCAGAAAATCACAAAAAATCGTCGTTTCACCGCATATTTTTAAAGGTAAGGAAAATCGCAGCTTTCCTCACTTTTTGTAGTGATGATAAATTCACACCATGGCAATAAGAATACGTATCTCGTGCTTGAATGAGCATTCTAATGGAAATAGTCTATTAGTTGACTTATGCTTTCCTCGTCACTAGTCGAATAAATCTTTGATTTTTTCTTTGAATTCACACTGTCTCGCATACGAATCGATTAAAAAAGTTAATCAACAAATACGCTATCACATTATGTGTTTTCTGTAAAACTGAAAAATGCATAAATAAAAGCGACTGTGCCTATTTTACGTCTCAACCTAACTGTATGCTGACATTTTTTCTCGCATACTTCCTCTCCCTTCCCTTACTCTCTCCTGCGTTAAGTAAGAATATAAATAAAGAAAAATTCATTCTGCGTGAAAAAATAAGAATAACAACTTGCTAAAAATAAAAAAGTAGCGTCACTAATATGAATTGATAGAAAAAGCAAAACGCATCCCAAACAAACAGCAAATCATCGTACATAACAAAGACGGTAGTGATAGCAGTGTCGGCGTATATTTAATTCATCGATCAATCAGGTGGTCACCCGCTGAACCATTCATTATCCGTGAAAAATTTGAAAGAAAAAAAAACGCCAATTTTTTAAGTTGTTACATAGCATGTATATGTACGCTATTGTAAGCAAACTGGCTGAACGGATGGAGGCAGGGCGCTGGTATCACTAACCATTATATCGCAGAGTTACCAAATCCAACCGAAACTTTATTATCCCCCAAATTTATATACATGTATAATATAATGTACTGTACATACGAGATGTCGTGCTACGTTCCTAATGATTGAGAATGAGAATGTGGCACAGAATAATTTTTTTATACAAGTACATGTATATTGATATATCAATATATATATATATATATATTGATATATATCAATATACGTAATTTAATTAGCAAAGGCGCGGTCGGTATATCGATATTGCTTACATGTTTATGAATGATATACGCGTGCACGCACGAGCGCTGTTGCCTTTATGAACATTTTGGCTGTTTTTTCGCTTGACCAAATTCTAACTTGTTCATTGAACGAATCAAATACACGTTCCTGCGCACGCGCGGTCTTTGTTACTCGACAAACAACAAAAATTTTATTTTGTAGATGAATGGATGATGCAAAAAGAGTATTTATCATTATTATATACAAAAAAGAACCGAACGAAACAGAACATTTTACACGCACACAGCGAAGCTAAAATTATAATTTACAAAGTATTGTGATGCTTTCCTGCTTGCAAAAATGATGATGTAAATACATGTTGTAAAATATGCAAAGGAGAGAAAGTATGCGAGAAATTACGAAAGAGGTGGAAATAATACAGTTTCGAAAGATAGAACGGAAGTATGAACAATATGAATTGATGCAATACGAAACATGAACAATGAAGAAAAAAAAAAAAGTTATCATAGTGAAACATAACGAATAAAGAAAAGCGTAGAATGTTTTGTTCTTATTTCGAAATATATATTCCTAATGTACTTATATTATCGAGAGCAATTGTTGTGTTTATTGTGAATTCTAAAAATGCGTCGCATCATTAAATCTTAAAAGCATATACGTTATTGTTGGATCGTGATAACTTAGAGAAAATGTTTGTTTTTGTACATCTAAACGATTTCACGTATATGAATGATGAATTCTATGATATATATATATATATTGTTTTTTTTTCTATCCTATTTTTCGTTGTTTCTAAAGATAAAATTCGTCGTCGTCTTCGTCAACTTGCTTAATGTACACCCTGCGACAAATTTTTCGTATCAAAAATCCATTCTTCCAATGAATCTCCACCAATCATTTCCTTTGCTCCATCATCATTACTAATAAATTTCACAATCCAGTCATCCCATAAAGATTCTTTGGACAATTGACTTATGTTCGACGACGTTGTTGAAAACGCATTGCTGATTGTTCGCGTGTGTTGTCGCGATCGATTGCTATTGTGAAAACCTCGAGATTTTCCATTTTCGCTATAGAAGCCAAAACCTGAGGAGGATGACGACGACGTGGTACTATAACTTTGGACGCTTGGCTCGCGTGATCGTAAAGATGAGTATGATGAGGATTGTGTTGTGGGTAATGTGTCCCATGGTTTTAATTCTAAGTTATAAACTAATGTATCCTGAACGCGTGAAACCGTCACCTGTGCCGCTGTTAACAATTCCGTTGTTAACGTTGAAACTGCAATATCTCTATTCTCTGAAATGCTGCTGTGGTCGTTGTCGTCCAAGCATCTATATTTCTCTTTATTGAGATTCCGTTGGCAGACACTTTGTTTGTACCATTGTGAGTAGAAATTTGCCATCTTTCTATGAATTTATTTATCTATGAAAAGAATAAAAATATGGGATTAAAACTATAAATAAGCAAAAAAGTAAAGAGGAAGGCAAAGACCTTCCCTTTATATAGAAACTGGTTATTATTATTATTATGAATAAAAATAATCTTTTAGATCATTGATAATATGTACCTGTGCATGATGATGTACACGTATTTTATATATTTTATTTTACATGTGCTGTGCATAATTGTTTGTATATTTATTTTATTTATTTACATGTATCTCAATTACTATTGTAATAGCGATAGCTGGCGATAGTGTAATATTTGTTGCGAAACATTTGGCATGCCAAGTCATCTGACCGATTCCCAAATCAACTGAGCATTGGTAAATCAATCGCGTGCTGAAGTAAAAACGATTCATTTCAAATTAAATTTTTTGCTTAATTATCGTTATTAATTGATTGGAGCGGATTAAGAAAAACACGCCGAGAAACAAAAGTGATTAATGATCATCATGGCTGGTGACATGGTAATAAAACTCAGTGTAAGAGACTAAAGTAGTTTGAAAAGGTCCGGTCGTCGTAATAATACCCGAGTCATTATAGATGCAAGTAGGATTGAGAACTGAATCGGAGAATGGTAATTACTGTAATTAGTGAAATTATATGTAGTTCGAATCTTTTTTATATTCGTTCATTACACATGACCTATGAAGGTTGATCGGTTTAGGAACGCAAATATAATACGATTGGTTCGTTCAAAAAAAAAATTTTCTGTCATCGACAAAAAATCCTCGATAGATACACAGCTTATTATTGAGTGGACTTGGGCGTTTTTTTAAGCCTCCTCATCGATAAGTTTTTCCATGCATTGAATTTTAGCTTTTGATCACGATGGGTGACACAAAAAATTTCGCATTTTTTCAGAAATTCCCATGTTTTGTTTTCAATGTTATCGATTATTTTAGAAATGCTAAAATTTTAAATGGCTATGAACATGTTTCATCAACTTTCAGCCCATATCGATATCCTATACTTGGACAAAATAAAAGCCTTGCGTATAACGATTATTGTATACATATAAAAGAAGTAACAACGAAGAAAAAAGCCGGATTTCTTTGTTGATTTTAATCTTTTACAAGATTACAGGAGCTTCACATGTAATACGGTGGGTTACATAAGTATATCACTATTAGAAGTTAAACGTTAAAAATCAAATATCAATATCGAACAAAAAGAAAAACATACCGATACTCGATTTTAAGTGGCCACTCGTCTGCGGCAATTTGATTAACCGTTATCACTACACGCAATAGTAAATTTCATGAAAATATGCGGGTAATTTTGATTTGATCGGAGCGCTCATCTAATTCCTCAATGCTTATTTATTTATTAATCTTAAAACAACTAACATGTACTGTATATCGTATATACTGTATAGTGAGTACTTTATTATTATACGCCGCCGTAATTTAGGCTTTTTTGTGATACCATAGTTATTAAGCAAAAAAAAAACCGCACATACGAAATGACATCTATAGAGTAACATGTATATATCTATGAATTTCATTATTATTATTATTATTATCTATGTACTTGTTTGTTTTCTTGCATGTCACCAGATAAGCTTTTTCCCGCGCACAGACTATCCCTTTACGAAAATTATTCGTTCGAGAACGATTGAAATAAAAGCAACACTCGAATTAGAATTAAAAATGTGAAAGCGTTTTAACTCATTACTTGGTATAGCGGGTTCAAAGAAACTTAAAAATAAAATAATCAAGTGTTATACATCTATTCGGAATGTCCCAGATACGTCAGATAATTATGAAAAGATAAACAAATGGTTGAACTTGTCAAAGAAATGACGCAATGCTAATTTGAACTAGTGTAAGTTCATATTAATATTCGGTAAAAAAGGAAACGTGTACTTATGTATATGTATACGTCTATTAAAAAAAAACTCTACGTATATGATAACGACATATCTACATATACATGTAGATATTAACACGCATAAGATCAGATTCGATTATCAGTGAGAGATAAGTTGAACAAAAGTGCATCCCAGATAGATAATTGTCAACAAAGAGATAAGATGAAATTTATGTTTATATAGGCGATACATGCATTGGTGCTATCTTATCTTTCTTGATTTTTTAAATCTGTGTTCAAAATGTACATTTTATCAATTAAAATTAAATTTTGTAGGAAACGGATAATCCAATACATGTACATTTTTTAATCACAATGAACCTCGTTTCTTACCGATTATGTGACAAATTAATAGTTTAAACTCGTAATAAAAAATTAAGCAATCCAGAACATATTTATATTATTAATACACACAAAGATATGCTTGAAAGAATAATATTGTAACCACATAATTCATCATTTGATTAATGTCCTAGTAATGACGGCGAAACGCGACCGATCATGTGACTTTTAAGCGTTAAACGAATCAAATCGCAATGTATGAACCACTTTTCGGTCAGGGTTAGGGTTAGATTATGAATTGGTCATGAAAGTTCATGATAAAATTTCTCAAGGAACATTTTTCCTAAAACACAGCAAGTAGTTTAATAGGCAAAATTTTGAGATACAAGTTATTTTTCAAATAAACATTTTTCCGTTATACATTGATCATGCGATTTTGCTAGGGTACTATCCTTTAACTCTGTTTGCTCATTGCTGAAGCATCTGCAAGGCGAGATCTTTCTGAGAAAACTAGGATAAAGAATGTTATTCTAAAAATGAATATATTTCAAATTGGAAAATCCCCAGTCGATAAAAAATTACTGTATACGAAATAAAATAAATATCAGAGATCCAGTTTCGGTAGAAATCAATGAAACACCAGCTTATAATATAGGGAAGTTTATTATATTTATTGAATGTTCAATCCCACTCATGCTGAAGAGAATTTACAAATGAATGTTGTAAGAAATATGACAAGAAAGTCGGACGTGTTTATAAAAGATTATATCTGTAAAACGTGTCATTTAAAGTCACATAGATCATTGTTTAAATTACGATTTGTTTGTTTATTGTAATTTACTCACTGCTACCATTTCGGGATCAGTATTGTCTATTGGTCAATCTAATTCTTATAAATGATTGGGTGATTTTATTCTCAGAACATATATAATTATTTGACTAAATTTGGTGAAGTTAATAAGCATTCAAATCCCGCACCAATCACTGTTAATACATTATCGTAATGATCTACTAGTGTGTCATATTGTTTTATCAATAACCGATACGATAAACTACGCACAAAAAAATGTCTAAAATAGTATTATTGAAATCCTATTGCAATAATCTCGATAAACTATACGAAGATTCAAAGTTTCACGATATTTTAATAACCGTTGGCGAACAACCAAACGAAAAAAGAACGTTTTCTGCGCACTTGGCAATTTTGGTAGCACAATCGCCGTATTTTGCGACAGCTTTGTCAGATGTCTGGGTTAAAAGAGAAGTAAATAAGATAATCAACTTCCAAAAGCCAAATATCACTCCCGGGACTTTTGAAATTTTGTTACGGTAAAGTTATCACTGACTAATGTTCAAAAATAAAGATAATCATCCTGATAGCCAACTTTTGATTATAGATATTTTTATAGGGGAGAAATTGACTTGGGATATGACCTATTTACTGTGCTAGATGTAATGATTGCTGCGGACGAGTTGCTACTGGATGATTTGGTTGAATATATCCAATCTTATATAAATGACCATTTCGAAGCGTCAATAATGGAAAATTTTTATACAATCATTGAAATTGCTTTTGAGAACTATAATTTTATAGTTTTGCAAAACTTTTGCATCAATATCGCGTGTAGAAATCCCAGATTAATCTTCGAATCGCCTAAATTCACTCAACTTGAAGAAGCAATTCTTATCTCATTGCTTCAACATGATAATTTGAATCTTACAGAAATCGAATTGTGGAATAAAGTGATTGAATGGGGGATCGCACATGCTTCTCTATTGAATTCTCCGATTGAAACTTGGACGCAGAACGAATTTAATCATTTAAAATCAACCCTGCAAAATTGCTTGCCATATATCAGATTCTTTCATATCGAGCAGGCTGACTTTCTCAACAAAGTCTTGACATATTCAAATATATTGCCAGAGACTTTAGTGCAAGATTTAGAGAAACATTACTCGGATAAATCTCATTTAGCATTGACAGGATTTGCAAGATACTGCTATATTTTATCAAAGCAACGAGCAATACAATATCACGTGCGAGGATTGGCAAGTAATTCCTATATTTTATCTAATCAACAGGAAAGTAAAATAAAACTCTGGATTAAGAATGAATGTAGAGTTCTTGGTGAAGTGCGATTCAAGTTATTGTTCCGCGGTAGTCGCGATGGATTTGATTCTATTCATTTTCATCAGTTGTGCGATGGCCGAGGTCCAACAGTCACAGCTATTCGTTTGAAGAACCATTCCAAAATAATTGGTGGTTATAACCCCATATCTTGGAGGCCCGATATTGCATCTTGGCTATCAGATCTTTCTCGTTCTAAGTCAACATTTAGCTTTCTTTATTCATTCGATCTGAACAACGGTAAAGAGTTCTTAAGCAGACATCAACAAGGAAAAGACGAGATCAATTTTCGGCGTTCAGGACCTATGTTTGGATCTGGACCTGATTTGGAATTGGACTTAGATGGAACAGATTATTATGGTTATTGCCAAAAAACTGATTTCTACGAATATGGCTTGCTTGGAGACGAGAATGAAAAGATCAAGTTTAGGTTCGATGAATTTGAAGTGTTTCAAATAGTATACTATATACCTTACTGAATCAAAAATTTAAAATAAAATCACTTTTGATAGTGTATTCATTCTATATTAAGAAAACAATTATATAGTAATTCAAGACTTATAAGTAAAAAATTTATATTGATATATTCACTTTTAAAGAAACCTTATGAAATAAATAGAATAACCAGATTTTCTATTCTATGATTGCATATGTATATATGAAAATAAAAAATAATAAAATTTAAGAGTAATAAATGATAAACTAATTCTAATAAATTATATTGATATATTCACTTTTAAAGAAATCTTATGACTACATATGAAAATAAAAAACAATAAAATTTAAGAGTAATAAAAGATAAGCTAATTCTAATATATAAATAATTATAAAAAATAGAGAAAATATATCCGAAAAAAGAATTATATATGTGTATCAATTTTATAAACAGACAAAAATTATAATATCTATCTAATAAATATATACTACAAGAAACGGCACAGCAGTTACTTTTCAGTTTGTGGGTTGCCGGGTGAGATCGAAGCGCATATTCCAGTCGTTTTCCAGTTTTTGTTTTGCCGGGGCATATCCACCTTCCGCTGATTTTGAGTACCATTCAAGGGCTTTTTCCTTATCTTTTGGTACGCCAATGCCAGTTTGATAACAGAACCCAAGATTATATTGCCCAGCACTGTTTCCATTCTCTGCGGATCTCAAATAACATTCGAAGGCTTTTCTCTTATTTTTTTGTACGCCAATACCATCTCGAAAACAGGAACCAAGATTATTTAGTCCAAAGCTGTCTCCACCCGCGGCAGCTTTCAAGTACCACTCAAAGGCTTTTTTCTTATTTTTATGTGTGCCGAAGCCATATTGATAGCAAAAACCAAGGCTATACTGCGCAGCATTGTTTCCACCTTCTGCGGATTTCGAAAACCACTCGAAGGCTTGTTTCTTATCTTTCTGTACAGAAATGCCATTTTGATAACAGAAACCAATATGATATTGTCCTCCATTGTGTCCACCCTGTGCCGATTTCAAATACCATATGAAGGCTTTTCTCTCATCTTCTGGTACGCCAATACCTTTTTGATAACAGCAACCAAGATTATATTGCCCGGCACTGTTTCCATTCTCTGCGGATTTAAAAAACCATTCGAAAGCTTTTTTCTCATCTTTTGGTACGCCAATACCATCTCGATAACGGCAACCAAGATTATTTTGTCCAGCACTGTCTCCATCTTCTGCTGATTTCAAATACCACTCGAGGTCTTGTTTCTCATCTTTTTGTACGCTGGCGGCATGATGGTTATAGTAATCAGGAGGAGGATTATTTTGTCCACCCTCTAATTGCATATACAATTCAAAGGATTCTTTCTCATCTTTTTGTGAGCTATTTATGCTAATACTATCTTGATAACAGAAATCAGCATTATATTGTCCAGGATTATTTCCACCTTCTGTGGATCTCAAATGCCATTCAAAGGATTCTTTCTCATCTTTTTGTGAGCTATTTGTGCTATTACCATCTCGATAATAGAAACTTTGTACAGGATAGTTTCCACCTTCTGCAGATATTTGTGAGCTATTTGTGCTATTACCATCTCGAAAATAGAAATTTTGTACAGGATTTTTTCCACCTTCCGCAGATTTCAAATATTGTTCAAAGTCCTTTTTCTCATCTTTTTGTATTCCAGTACCATCTCGATAATAGAAACTTTGTACAGGATAGTTTCCACCTTCCGCAGATCTCAAATACGGTTCAAAGTCCTTTTTCTCATCTTTTTGTATTCCAGTACCATCTCGATAATAGAAACTTTGTATAGGATAGTTTCCACCTTCCGCAGATCTCAAATACGGTTCAAAGTCCTTTTTCTCATCGTTTTGTATTCCAGTACCATCTCGATAATGGAAACTTTGTACAGGATAGTTTCCACCTTCTGCAGGTTTTGAATACTGTTCAAAGTCCTTTTTCTCATCTTTTTGTATTCCAGTATCATCTCGATAATGGAAACCAAGATTATTTTGTACAAGATTGTTTTGTACGCTATCACCATTTTGATAACATGAACCAAGATTATATTGTTCAGTATTGTTTCCAGTTTCTTCAGATTTCAAATACCATTCGACGGCTTGTTTCTCATCCTTTTTTACTCCGACTCCGTTATGATAACAGCAACCAAGATTATATTGTCCAATACTGTTTCCACTTTCTGCGGATTGCAGATACCACTCGAAGGCTTTTTTCTCATCCTTTTGCACGCCGAGTCCATATTGATAACATAAACCAAGATTATTTTGTCCGATATTGTTTCCACCTTCTGCGGATTTCAAATACCACTCAAAGGCTTTTTTCTCATCCTTTTGCACGCCAGTACCATCTCGATAACAACATCCAAGATTATTTTGTCCAGCACTGTTTCCACCTTCTGCGGATTTCAAATACCACTCGAAGGCTTTTTTCTCATCCTGTTGTACGCCGATACCATAATGATAGCAACAACCAACGTTATTTTGTCCAGTACTGTTTCCAACTACTGCGGATTTCAAATACCACTCAAAGGCTTTTTTCTCATCTTTTTGCACGCCGATGCCATATTGATAACCGCAACCAAGATTATTTTGTCCAGCACTGTTTCCGCCTTTTGCGGATTTCAAATACCAAATGAAGGCTTTTTGCTCGTCTTTTTGTACGCCAACACCATGATAATAACAGAAACCAAGATTATTTTGTCCCGTATGGTTTCCACCTTCTGCAGATTTCAAATACCACTCGAAGGCTTTTTTATCATCTTTTAGTATGCCAATGCCATCTTGATAGCAACAGCCAAGATTATTTTGTCCCGTATGGTTTCCACCTTCCGCAGATTTCAAATACCACTCGAAGGCTTTCCTAGCATCCTTTTTCACGCCAGCACCATCTCGATAACAACAGCCAAGATTATTTTGTCCCGTATGGTTTCCACCTTCTGCGGATTTCAAATACCACTCAAAGGCTTTTTTCTCGTCTTTTAGCACGCCCATGCCATCGCGATAACAGGAACCAAGATTATTTTGTCCAGAGCTACTTCCATTCACTGCAGACTTTAAATACCACTCAAAGGCTTTTTTCTTATCTTGTTGTACGCCAATGCCATAATGATAACAATGACCAAGATTATATTGTCCGTCACTATCCCAACCTTCCGCTGATTTTTTAAACCATTCGAAGGCTTTGTTCTCGTCTTTTTGAACGCCATCACCATCTCGATAACAACATCCAAGATTATATTGCCCAGCGCTGTTTCCACTCATTGCTGATTTCAAGTACCATTCAAAGGCTTTTTCTTCATCCTTTTGCACGCCAACACCATTTCGATAACAGAAACCAAGATTATTTTTTCCAAGATTGTTTCCACCCTCGGCGGATTTCATATACCACTCAAAGGCTTTTTTCAAATCTTTTGGTACGCCAACGCCGTTGTGATAGCAGGAACCAAGACTATTTTGTCCAGCACTGTTTCCACCCTCTGCGGATCTCAAGTACAACTTAAAGGCTTTTATCACATCTTTTTGAACGCCATTACCATCTCGATAACAACAACCAAGATTATATTGTCCAGCGCTGTTTCCACCCTCCGCTGACTTCAAATACCACTCAAAGGCCTTTTTCTCATCCTTTTCTACTCCGACTCCGTTACGATACATGTCGCCTAGTAAGCATTGAGCTCGTGGATCTTTATTAAGTGCATGTTCACTATAAATTTCATATGCTATTGAATAATTTTGCTCAAAGACAACACCATTTTGATATAGAAATCCCACCAAAATTTTATATTTAGTGTTATGACGTAAACTTTGTAGATAAATTTTAAATCCAGGGGGAAACTGAACAATTTTATCATAATAAGATTTTAAAAAAGCGCCTAATCTTTCATTGTCGTCATATATGCTTCGGTCATATAACTTATAAAAGTGCATCAATAAATTGTCAGCTAAAGGTTTGAATTGTTCATTTTCGTTAGATGAATCGTTTGAACCCATTCTGTCGGGAAATCCACGTTGTAAAGTCGAAGCTTCTTCATTTAATGCTGATGTAGAAACTTCTATTTCTTCAAGTAGCTTATCTATTTCTTCGTAAACTATGGTAAACGAGTCGGCAGACCATTCTATTTCATCAAGTTGTTTGTTTACTTCATCGATATCTGGACGGTTTGTTGGAACATCGTCCCAGCATGCTTGATAAAGCGCGACATATTTATTTGGGGTCCCAAATATTCTTTTTTCTTTTTCATATTTACTGATTGGAGGACGTCCGCTAGAAATAACCCAAAACAACACACCAAGGCTGAAGATATCTGACTTTTCGTCCCGCCTATAATTCATATCTTTTAGGAATGCGGGATCAATATAATTCATCACACCCATATCGTTCGAATGAGATTGGTCATGCAAAAGCTTTGAATAGCCTAAGTCTGAAATTTTGATTTTATCCTTATGAACAAGTATATTATTGTGGTTCTATTAATAAAAATTCCAACATTAGTACCAAAAAAAAAAATCAAAGAATTAAAACTTTCGTCAGCTATATAGTAAATCTATAAGTTTACCTACCAAATCTCGATGAATAATGCCTGCATCGTGTATGCACTTTACTCCTTTAGCGAGTTGTTTAGCCAAACTCAACTTGTTTTTGCCATTTAATTTGCCGAAATTCTTATTTAAATATTCTTTAAGTGTACCACCATCAGCATATTTCAAAACAAGCATGTACTTCTGAGAAGTCGGGTCTAAAGAATGTTTGTATTAAAAAAAATCTAGAAACTTTAAAAAGAGGAAATAAAACCCATTATATTTACCTTGGGTGATTCCGTAAAAGCGAATAATATTTTTATTGTGATTAAGATGAAAAAGGACTTTTAACTATAGAATGAAGCAATATTAATCAGTCTTGAATTTAAATGCTATTTTATTCTCAAATAAATTATACCTCTTTTATAAATTGTTTATATATTTCTTCATCATATATTTTATTTTTTATATAAAGGCATTTTAAAGCGACAGTTATATCTTCATTTTTCAATTCGGATTTATATACTTCACCGAACGCACCATTTCCGATTACTTCTTTACCGGAAAACTCATTGAAATCAAAAAATTTTATGTGTTTTTCCGATTTAACGTATTCTAGCCAGTCGTTTGCAGTATCAGTATATGAAGTTGATATTGACATTTTGATTTTTACGTTGATTTTTCCCGTCGTTTGCATTTTTATGTTGCTGAGTTATGTTACCATAGTAACACGAATCCCAATAATTCCGTTAATCCCGGTGGAAACTCTGTTGCTGTACATGCATTTTACATGTACATCGTACGTTGTTACTCAGTTCCTAATTATTAATTTCTAATGGTCAGTTTATTTTTTGTATTCCGTTGTATGCACAAATTAAAGTAGCTAATTCCTACACAACAGGAGATATTAGGAGAGCGTTTGACTATTATTATCTTAAAGTTTCCTGCAATCAAAATTATTAGATTGAATTACAAAGTACGATGAATTTTTCCCTCATATACAATTCGTTCCACCTTATCGATCTTAATAATCTCATCACTCTTATTCTTCTCAAAGATAACATTTCCTTTTGTTAACAACGCGAATCATTGATTAATGAAACCCACGTCTAGGTTATTATAATAATCAAATCAAATTTAAAAAATTAAAAAAATCCAGTGACTTTGGGACGACGTCCAAGTCCAATTTGGACAAATTAGAACCGTTCGATTCCTCTAGATCTATTTTTGTTCAAATTTGCCGTAGACGTCGAGATATATGTATCACGACCTAAAAGATATCAAATTTTTAATTTTTTTAACTTTTCAATAGATTGCATGCATCCAAATATTTTTGTCTGAAACTTTCATTTTTATAATGTAAATTGAATATATCATAACGAATCGGGATTTTTTTAAAGGAAAAATGTTAACATAATCCATGTGCATTGGTTTAATCACCGATGATTTTTGTATCGCGATCGGCATACATCAATTACATGTATAAAAAAATAAACCGTTAATTTCTATTTGGAAAAAATAAAATTCCAACGTTGCTTTAAAAATATTGTGTATTACTAAAGAAATTAACGTTTATTTCTTTATACGGCTTTATTAATTCTGTCAGAGTAAGATTATCTAAAACGTGGGTTTCTTAGAGATACAGCTGTTTTGTTTGCTTCGTTACACGTTGATCTTGCAACTTTGATTGGTTAACGAAAGGGACCCACTAATAACCTTAATAACCTTGTTTATAATTGTTTGACATGTGCACTATAAAAAATCTTTAATTAGTGATCGGCACTATACTTATACTTAAAACCAATGATAGACACTCAATAATACATGCACATGTTCCCTCATAGAAAGACTTTCGTGTGATTGGCTGATTTGCTAAAGATCTACATCGTAAGATCGATTAAGTAAAGCATTATTTACCGTTACATTTATCGTTATTGTAACTCGAATATAAACATTTGTCAAGTCTTAACGTTAATTAAATAGGTAATGTTTTATATTACTTTCATTACACTAATTTTATTTGTTTTTTTCGATTTAATACTGTAGGTTTAGGATAGCAAACAAAAATAATTTTATTTATGAATACGAGTGGTTCTAAGAGAAAATCTGAAAATCGAGTTTTCCAGGTTTCTTTTAACGATACACATATAGGCAAAATTTAATATGTAATAATGTCATGTAATTAGGCGAGGCCAAAAAAAAGTAATGATTATTCAATTTATAGAGCAAAAAAAAACTCAATTGTAATAACGAAAAATAAACTAAAAAAATTGTCTATTGTTGTTGAAATTTACGCAATGCCTCCTCTAATGTAAATGCTATATATTCTATGGGTTCACTTTCATCATCATCGTCACAGGGAATATTATCTTCGACTTCTCGCTGTTCTTTGAAACGTTGCAAGCGTTCTAGTAAAGACTGGACATGTTCATCAATTCCATTTTGTAAGAATGAGAGACAATGCACACACTTGAACCCGTTGTTGATATAACAGGACTTGTGATAAGTGTGACTGCAAGCTAAAACTTTAATCGGATCTGTATTAATTAAGAAATTGGACAGTTGGCCTATATAAAGTATTGAATCCTAAAGGAAGATGGCATAATCTTGCTTCTGGCATTTTCATCGCCATTAACGAAACGGTAACGTCATTAACTTTTTGCTTGCCCTTCTTCGAAGATGGATTGGGATTCGTGATAATCTATAATGGAAATATTAATTGTAAAATAAACGTGTATAGATTTCTGAAAAACACTGCAAAAGAAAACACACATTTTTTTTTGTTAAAAACGTAATATCTTGGGCAGAATATTTGTAGGCTGCCCATGTAGATGTACGTGCAAAGTTTGTATTGTTAGCTTGGCCTTTGGCAATAACAAACTCAGTTACCCTTCTCCAATTGGTTGACTGTCTCTGGCATTTGGTAATTACGCATGGTCCAGTAATAGTAATAGTTTGGTGGCATATTTGTCTTCTAAGTAAAGTTCTCTGGGTTTTTGATTCTTTTTGCACAGTGAACGTTAATATTCTTTCAAAGCTAGACACAATAAAATTTTTATTTTTTATTAGTGAAATGTTACATTCTTGAAAGGTACTTTAAAGTGTATAAATAAGTTACCCAGTAGTTACCCAGACAATTGGTTTACATTAGCCAATCATATGAAAGTCTGACCATGAACCCAGAACGAAGCGAAACCGAAATGGATATAAAAATAGCAATCCGAACCGGGAACGAAGTGTCGGATTCGGTACGGTTCACGAACCAAGCAGAGAACTTTCTACAATCATTTTTTCGTCCATACATCCCCAGACTAATTTAACCACCACGAAATTTTACAGGTGTAACATGGCGTATATTAGGGATTCACCAATAATACTTAGTCCAAACAAATGAAATTTATTTCATCGTACTATAATACTAAACATCAATCATCAACCGTATATTTTGGTATTTTTCGTCCAGCATTTCGTGCTTAATTTTAGAGAATAAACCGTATATTTTCGGCTGAAAGTTCGATTCCAAAGTCATTTTTAAGTTAAAATGGAAAAGATGACCTGGTTTTGGCTTGTCATCAAAACCATCAATCCAGTTTCTTTTTCGTTTTTGCATATTGCAAAAATTAGGATGTGGCTACCTTTTCTGGCACAACCTTCTTCTCGAAGAATATCGCAGGTCGAACAGTATTATCTTCGCCTCGATGTAGAATATCATGGGTATAATACTGGTAAATCTAGCGGCAAAGATATAAGCAGATGTTTCCCAAAAAAATTGCATTACGACTACATGTATATTTTTGCTCACCCTTTAAACCAGATGAAGTTTAGGTTTATTTACGTCAAAAACTACAGGTAGTTTTGTTATGGTTACACTGCAATCCGAAATCGATCGATTAGATTAGAAAATAAGGTATAGTCAAATTTCTACCCAAAATTGCATGTTCTTAATGACTCATTAAATCTTATAGTCGAAGATGCCACTTTTTTGAAAGCAAGAGATAAATTGTAATTTTGTATTATTTAATTTTGGTTTTATTCAAGGTGTAACCTACCCTGTTCTATCAGTGTATGTATACAGACAAATTTTGTTATTGAATACGGGATATTTTTGTTAATATTATTGTTTAATGAAAACGAAGAAAATTCTCCTCTATAATAAAAGTAAAGTAATTTTATATTTTTCTTCTTTGATACCGAAAGCATTAAATCAAAAAATTACTTCTAATCTCAAGAAATTTGAAGCTCACTGTTTTTTCAGTAGCCTATGAATTTGAACATTAGCATGTGTGATTGGTATCAAGCATGCTGTTAGTTCAGTCCATTATGTGCATGTATAAGACTATATACAGTCAGCTTGGTATCGGTATATCAATGTTTGGTCGTGTTGAATAGACTATAATCAAATATGTCTTTTCAGGAATTAAATATATTTATTTTAGATAAAACATTTTCATTGCTCACGAAATGAAGAGGCGAGACTACTTAACAAAGGATTATAATAGAGCCTTTATAATAATAATTGTTTAGTTTACAAAGATTCAATCAATAAAAATTTAATTCCTCATGTTTTTTTACATAACTATCTTCAAGTAATACGTAAATTTCATAGGATATAATGCACTCAAGTTTTAGGCAAGATATTTAACAAATACAAATGAAGTGTCTAATTTAAGATTCGATATCGCTAAGCAAAAAAAAATTAAAGAGTCCAATGTACCTGTTATCCGTGGCAATTTTTGTATGCATATGTATTATGTGTAAATTTAATAAAAGGAAATAATAACGACAAACAAAATCCGATGCTTTACATTATCCCAGGAACGATACCTGTAATTGAGACCGCAGCTCCCTCAGCCAGAGTTACAGCAAGTATCTTTAATCAACTTATATAAAGTTCTATGATAATAACGATAGCAATAACAGTATAAAAAATGCCGTAAAAGTAATTCCACATTCTCTTAATACAAAAAATGACGATTATGTACACATATAATGAAATAAAATAAATGATTTCTGAAGACTAAAAATAATGCATTATTTTTTTTAAAAAAAGTTTCAAACTGTTTTAAAGCATCACAAACTTATATTTTGTTTGAATCAATATAACCTACAAATTAATTTCAAATTTTAATACATTAATACTTTTTAAAAACATACGGTCAGACATGAAAAAAATGTTTCAATCAAGAAATGAGGATCCAACACATTGTCTCTCTTTATGGTGCAGAACATGTCTTATATGAAGTGGGATTGAAAGTTTTAAATAGATTCTTAATAAATGGATTTTCAACTACATGTACTTTGAATGGGATATTGACCATTATCCAGGTCTTTAGAAGAATTTCATCATAATGATTATTAATTTCTGTAGGTAAAATTAATTAAAATTAAGAATTTCTTGCGCAAATATTATTATTCTCTGCAAGTTTGTTACGCCAATATTTTCAGATATCTTCAGGCACGTTTGGATAATGAATTCCAAGATGGGCTCTCATAATGCATGGTTTCTCCTAGGCCAGAATTTTTTACAATGAAAACACTTGGCCTTGTAATGCCCTGGGCTTACTTTTGTACCTTTAATAATATATTTCCATATTTCGTCGAAGTTGGGTCCACCTTTCTTTTTTTGTGGTTGATTACAGTTAGTATCATCGATACAATTAACAAAATTACATGAATTAGATTCTGATGATGTAGAATTACTATCAACATTATATTAATTAATTTCGCTAGTCAAAGACATCTTGCAAAACTTTCTCTCAATTTGTTTATTCGATTCATGTATTTATTAAAAAAAGTTTAGATTAATCATCTTTTTGAAATCAAAAGCAAATATCCATCACGTTCTTTTTAATTAAAGTGTGACGTCCATCATGTTCTGCATCACGTCTAATGGCAACGTGACGATGTCTTTTTGACATAACCATACGACACCATAAGTCTGCACCAGTACATGTATCGGTATTGTCTAATAAACAATGTGGTACATGTACATTGAAACCATATCGATATATGCATTTCCGCAAAAATGGCAAGTTCGAAAATCAAGTTTCTTTGTTTGAAATCTAGTTTAAACCAGTATTTCCCGAACAAAATAACTTTTAAGCATTAGGATCGTTATTTTTCGAATAGTTTCTTCGCAAAATGTGTATACCAGGTCATCGTGAAAAAACGCCGAAAAACTGGATTCCAGGAATTACAGAAATAGGTTCAGGCTATGATTTTTTTAATGGAAAGTATGCTTCAAGCGAATCTTGTACGGAAAACCTTTTTGATTGGAGCAAAGAACCTGTGCAAGAAATCGAACTACATGGCAAAACATATTGCTATCCGAAAGGAATAATTGACGTAAGTTTTGCTGAGGGTTTATAATCAAACTTTTTAATCTCTACATTTTCTGGTTATACATTTAGTGTTATCTCGAACGTTCGGACAATTATAATATAGCGGCTGGTGAAACCTTAGAAGAATATCAGAAGTCACTCTCTCGCACTGTTGCAGTGGGAGGTTAGTAGCTTATTGAGATTATCTAATAATGACCCCTCGTCTCAACTTCCATCATCAACAAACGATCCATTTCTTGGTCATTCATTTTAAAAAATTATATCTATTTTAGGAGGATTCCTTGGATTTAATGGTTCTGTAAAATTTGAGTATGGTGATGTTGTGAACTATAGCAAGTTTCACAGCTTCAGCCGAGTACAATATGAATATAAGTCATACCA